GGAGCAGAGAGAAGCTGCAGGAACTCCCTTGCACACAGGAATAGCAGCCCCTCTGGACCCCACGGAAAGTCCACTCAGCTCTCCCAAAGGTAGGGAGGCTGTGTGGATTAGAATTAAAAATATAAATGTTTGAGTGTTAGAGAAAATGTGTGTGTGTGTGTGTGTGTATATATGTCTGTCTGTATGTCTGTGTGTGTATATGTCTGTGTGTTTGTGTGTGTATGTATGTCTGTGTGTGTATATGTCTTTCTGTGTGTATATGTCTCTCTCTGTGTGTGTGTGTATATGTCTGTGTGTGTATATGTACCTGTGTCAGTGTGTGTGTGTGTGTCTGTTTAGGTACCTGCCCCCTTTCCGATCACATGATTGGTGTTTATACTCACCTTTTTTCCCACGCCGTGCTGGTTTCGCTGTTGCTTGTCCCGCCTCCATAGCTGAGATCTTAAAGATCTCAGCTAAGCCAATACGTTCCCATAAGAAAGCATTGGGAGGATATTACACATGTTCTCTATTGGTAACATTCAGCGCCTCCATGCAGAGCACTGATACAGGACTCTCTAGTGGCCGTCTGAGTGACTATCACTAGAGGTCTTAGTAGGCAGCAATGTAAACGCTGCCTTTTCTCTGAAAAGTCAGCGTTTACATTGAAAAGGCTACAGGGACAGGCTATAGGCATCAGAACAACTACATTAATCTTTAGTGGTCTCTTAAAAAAAATGTCTCCTAGCTTTTTTAGCTGGCTCCTAGATTCCAAGCAAATTTGTCAAGCCCTGGGCTAACATCCTCCCACATTTGCCCCCTTGCGAATAGTAAGAGAATTCGGTGAGGAGTATTTTCCGCTTGATTTGAACATTTAGCAATTGTGTTAGTGTAGACCTTTTGTGGATAAGAGCTTTATAAATGTCTTTGCGTTTATGAGTTATCTCCAGTTGCCTAATTTCAGTAGTTAGTGATTTAATTTGGGCCTCACTGACTTTTTCCGTTTCGATGAGAGAGTTGTAAAGAGTCCCCTAATTATGCACTTGTGTGCTTCCCAGGTGATGGGGGGATGTTATGGATGGTGAACTATTTGTAAAGTAATTTTCCAGTGAGAGTTTGATTTGGGATATTACATTCTGATCGTTTAATAATAGGTCATTCAATTTCCATCGGAATGATTTTATCGGCACAGACGGTATTTGAATGGCAAGAGACAGGGGTGCGTGATCCGAACCATATGTACACGATTGGATGAGGTGGAGAAACCTGTGGGGTAACAGGAATAGATCAATCCTGGAGTAGGTACCAGTTGTGGGGGAATAAGTAGTCTCTTGTGTGAGGGTGTGAGACGTGCCAAATATCATACAGTTGTGACGTGTCTAGAAACTGGTTCATCTGTTGATGTGCAGATGTTTGGTCTGTGTGTATGCCAGATGTAGTGTCAAGTGTAGAATCCAGAGAGGTGTTCAAGTTCCCACCCATAATCAAAATCCCCTCCACAAAATTGTCAATAGATTGCAGAAATCGTCTTAGGGATTTACACTGGCGTCTGTTTGGAAGATACACGTTTATGAACGTAACCATATTGTGACCTATCAAACTCTTCACCATTACCAATCTGCCATTATCATGACTTTCGTGATTAACATAGGTAAAGGGAACCTGTGAGGAAATCAGAATGGCTACTCCTTGTGCTTTGGCCTCTGTGTAATTACTGAAATATCCATATAGGAATTTGCAATTATAAAATTTGGGAGCAGAGCTTTTCTGAAAGTGTGTTTCTTGTAGCGCCCCAGTGGGAGAGGCAAAGGCTTTGAGTTAGTGCAGCGTCCCCATGAGCAGCAGTCCGTGGTATAATAATTTTCTGTCAATGTGGATTCGGTTGTAGTGGTGTTAGTTTAGTCCCTTAGCGGTTAGCCCCTTTCCCTCTTGGAGACAATGGGATTGAAGCTGCTTCTCCCAGTTAATTTCTTCTCTTCATGGGAACCCGTTGGCAGCATGGTCTCTTTGCCAGTTGTGGTGCTGGTGTTGGTAGCATCGGGCCATACCAGTCTTGAATGTGTACCGCTGGTAAGTCCAAAGCCTGCAGAAATGCTGGAACATCTATGATGGATTGTTTGGAATGTACTGATCCTCTGTGGGACACGCTGAGAGCAAAAGAGAAGCCCCATCTGTATCGTAGATTTCATGCCCTGAGATTATCAGTGATAGGCTTGAGTGCTCGCCTGGCCTGGAGAGTCATCCAGGATAAATCTGGATAAATAGAGATCGGTGCCTCATGGTAGAGTAGAGGTTGGGAGGATTGTCGAAGGGCTCTAAGAATGTCCTTCTTGCAGGTGTAATAGTGGAGGCGGCAGATCACATCCCTTGGCCTGTCCATCTGGGCCCCTCCAGGTTGGAGAGCTCTGTGTGCTCTGTCCAATATGATCGGCGCATCGATGGGTCTCTCCAGTATAAGGTTGAATAATTCTTGCAGGGTGTTTGACAAGTTTTCCTGTTCCTTTTCAGGGAGCCCTTTTATTCTTAGGTTATTTCGGCAACCCCTGTTGTCGAGGTCATCAAAGGACTTTTGCAGGGCGGAAAGGTGAGTTTCATGAGCTTCCATAATTTCATGGATGTGTTGGATTTGGAAGTATGTGGTGTCTCTGTTGTCCTCCAATGTGTAGACCCTGTGAATTTGATGTCGCATACAGCTTGGATTGAAAGGAAACCTTAAATTTCCCTAGCATTTTAGCCAGGTCTTGTTTGGATGGTAAGGTTTTTAAGATTTCTCTTAATTTCAAGTTGGCATGTAGGTAGGAGTGCTCGGATTCTCCCAGGCTGGACGGTGGAGTGGTGAAACACCTGGTGACTCCTGTGCCATTTTGGGGCCTACCATCGATTTGTGTGGATCTGTTTGAGCCCTAAAGTATTTGGTGAGCTCACCCAATGCCGGGGTTTTGCTGGATGATTGTTGAGATGACGTTGTTCTTTAAGGGTGCCCCATTATGTAATGTAAGCCCGATGTTTGCGGATTATATTCCCTTTTGTACGGAGCTCTGTTAAGATGTGTCAGTGTGGGTCAGTGGTTAGCTCTGCCCCCATAGAGGTCATTTTTATGATTATACTTATCCTATTTTTATTCTCTCTTGTTTTTCTTGAGGTCTCATTCTGCATTACTGCACGCTATACATAATGTTCAGCTCACGCTCTCCCACTCAATTGACTACTTTTGTATTGTACTTCTTCTTACCTACTTCATTTACTTTCAATATTTCTATTAACCACTTTGTCACTATTGTAGCTCCCTTTTAAGTAGCATTTCTTTATATTATTTCCTCTGATTCTATAGTGTACCGCTTCTGCAAAGATTACTCAAACTGTCTCTCTGGTGTTCCCTTATTAAAGGAACACTGTAAGGTCAGAAACACAAACATGTATTCCTGACCCTATAGTGTTAAACCCACCATTTAGGTGGCTTGCCTCTCCTCAGCCCCCTGAAAAGGAAGTAAAACTCACCTTATTTCCAGCGCCCCGCTGGTCCGTCGGCGCTGGACCTGCCTCAGGTCTGCCTCCTTGATGACATCATCAGAATAGCCACAGGGAAAGGTTTGGATTGGCTAAAATCGGCAAGGAGGTGGGATGGGGGTGGACCAAAAGCTGTTTTAGCCAGTCAGCACTTCTTCATAGAGATGCGTTGAATCAGTGCATCTCTGAGGAAAAGTAAGCGCCCCCATGCAGACCGTGGAGACACTGAATGGCAGGTCTGCTTACTGTACAGCACTGAGCCAGGAAGCACCTCCAGTGGCCATCTGAGGAGTGGCCACTTGGAGGTGTCCCTAGGGGCAATGTAAACACTGCCTTTTCTCTGAAAAGGCAGTGTTTAAATGAAAATGCATGAAAGCAATGATTATACTCACCAGAACAAATACATTAAGCTGTAGCTATTCTGGTGACTAGAGTGTCCCTTTAACATTTATCACTCATATTGGGATGTCCTTATTCGTTGATTTGAACTTCTGTCTTTGTGGGTTACTCTTTACTCTATTGCTCCAGCTACCACAAATGACAGCTGATGGGATCAACTAAAAGCTCTCTCTTTTACCACATTTTGACTTTCTCCAATGCATACATAAAAAAGTACCCCTTGCTTTGTCTTATTTATTTCTTATAATTGTGTTTGAATGCCAGTTAAATTCCAGTGCAATAAATATGTTTTTCATAAAGAGTCTTTGTATGTAATGTTTGCATTGGAAGTAACATTTTCATAAAGAGTCTTTGTATGTAATGTTTGCATTGGAAGTAACATTTGAAGATACACTTATCAGCGACAACATTAAAACCACCTGCCTAATATTGTGTAGGTCCCCCCTCATGCTGGCAAAACAGTTCTGATGCATCGAGGCATGAACTCCACAGGTCCTCTGAACGTGTCCTGTGGTATCTGGCAGCTGTTCCTTTAAGTCCTGCAAGTTGGAGGTGGGGCCTACAGATGCTCAATCCGATTGAGATTTGGAGGCCAAGGCAACAGCTTGAACTCTGTCATGTTACTCAAACCATTCCTAAACATTTTTTTGCAGAATGCATTACACCAACAATCTCTAGGTAGGTGGTATGTGTCAAAGTTGCATCCACATGAATGCCAGGACCCAAGGTTTCCCAGTAGAACATTGCCCAGAGCATAAAACTGGCTTCACCAGCCTACTTTCTCTGCCTTCTTCCCATAGTGAATCCTGCTGCCATCTCTTCCTCAATCAAACATGGTCAGGTATGACCACACCACGGAAAAGTTATTCCTTTGACTGATTGGAGCTACAAATGGGTTGGATTAGTTTTTTTTTCTGCTTTTTTGTATCTATATTTATCAATGTATTTGAAAATAATAATAATACATATACAATAATTAAATCACAAATCACAAAAAAGATGCAGAATAGGAAGTAGATTAAATTGTATTTATTGAAATGTTACAAATGTGAATATTTATTAATAAACCATATCAAAGTATTTTATAAATACAAAAAAATAAAATAAGAATGAAACCGACAGATGCACAGTAGATCACTGGTTATGTGTATATTTTTTTTATCCTTCTGTCTTCATTATTAACCAATTCAGAGTCCAAGCTACAATAATGCATAATTGTTGGGTAAGGTCAAGAAGTCAGTCTCTACAAATGGGTGTCAAATTGGATGCATTTAAAAACACACTGCAAATTGGAATTTACCCATTCCTCAAAAAATGCATTGGTAAAATAATGAATTAAAATATTTGTATAAGCAATAAATAAACAAAATATATATAATTGTAATTTTAGTGAAGCAAAATGGAAAAGGTATTTTTTTACATCACCTCCAAGTCAGGCCAGGCATGTCTGTTCCCATGTGAATATGTGTGTATGAGCTGTGTACTGGGCTTACTCTGTCAAATGTGTGTAAATTAAAGGGACACTATAGTCACCAGAAGCTTAAAAGGATTCCCCAGTGCCAGGAAAACATGTTAGTTTTCCTGGCACTGCAGGACCATGGAGTGCCCCTCTCCCTCCCACCTCCCATCCCAAGTTGCTGAAGGGGTTAAAACTCCTTCAGTGACTTACCGGAGTCCAGCGCCAATGTCCCTCGGTGCTGGTCAGGTTCCACCTATTCTCCGCCTACTCTCCTCCCCCGCCAGCTGATGGGGGAGACCTAATGCGCATGTGCACGCACATTAGTCCTCCCCATAGGACAGCGTTACTAAATGCTTTCCTATGGGGTTTTTGGTGATGCTGGATGTCCTCACATAGCGTGAGGGCGTCCAGCGTTGCTTAAAACAATTTTGGTGTTCTAAGAACACGGAAGTCCCTCTAGTGGCTGTCTGATAGACAGCCACTAGAGGAGGACTTAACTCTGCAATGTAAATATTGCAGTCAATAATTACACTTGCAGGGTTAAGGGTAGTGGGAGTTGGCACCCAGACCACAACAATGGGCAGAAGTGGTCTGGGTGCCTGGAGTGTCCCTTTAATGTAGTAGTTCTAGTGTGTATAGTTTTTCTCTTCAGGATTTTTAATGTAAACACAGCCTTTTAAGAGAAAAAGGCAGTGTTTACATTTCTGCCTGGTAACACCTCCAGTGGCAGTCACTCAGACGGCAACTAGAGGTGCTTACTGGGTCATTGCTGCACAGTGTGCAGCACTGCCGTTCATCATCTTCACGCTCTGCATGGAAGTCTGAACTGTCCCCATAGAGATGCATTGATTCAATGCATGAGGAGATGCTGATTGGTGCAGCATCGCTTCTATGAGGAGATGCTGATTGGTGCAGGGGCTTTGCCGCTCATGCGCAATAGCCTCTTAATGCTTTCCTATGGGAACACATTGTATTGACTGAGATTGTCAAATTTTATAAACTCAGCCAAGAAGTCAGAGTGGGGCCAGCCACAACAAGAAATTAACTGAGTTTTACACTTATTTAGCAGAGGCAAAGGGCGTACGGGGGGGGAGAGGTCGGTGGCCTAAATGGTGCATCTAGAACTATAGTGTCAGGAGTAAATGCTTGTATTCCTGACACTATAGTGCTCCTTTAACTATTTATTGCAGTAGCTCAAATAGTTAAAGTGCCACATATTGATGTCACATTGACTCAGTGTAAAAAAAAAAACACATTTTTCCACCACAACATATAGGTAGCTTTTAATTTCTGGAACCATAATTTATACCCAGGTCACCTTACACAGATGCCATATCCTGACATGTCACGTAAGCAATGTGATCAGTCTACATAAGTTAAAAAAAGTAGTTTTCGCTTGTTTCAGTTTCCATTTTCTACAATTGGTTCCATGTCCTGTAAATAATTGGATATGGCATTGTGTCCCAACATAGCCGCTCTCTGCATTGGAGTCAGACCCAAGCTATCAATTTGTTTCAGAGAAGCTCCATTCTGGACAAGCAGCTGTACAACGCCAAGGTGACCTCCACCTGCAGCTTTGTGTAACGCTGTGCGTCCATGTTTATCTGCCACGTCAATTTGGGCTTTTTTTCCCAATAGAACTTGGATGACCTAGGAGGAGAAAATAGAGTAAAATGGAAATCAAACAAAAATGGCTAGATTTAGCAATTACAGAGACCATATCTCTTTATTAAATAGTTAAGCAAATCAAATCGCAATAGTATTAATTCTTTATTAGTGCCGTATAGCTCTGCCTTATAATAACACAAAGACATACTAAAAACATGACACTTTGTTATGTAAATCTCCCCCAACCCCCAAATAAAACATATTATTAAGAGGTGTGTTGGTGCCTTGTGTGATAATGTAGGAATACGCGTCATCACATTCCCATGATACCACAAAGAACTTCACACTGTAAATTTCACTTGCATTAACTCTAGGATTATATGGTAGAGGTGAGGTGAGGAGAAAACGATGGCTTAAGATTTGAACAGAATTATTGGTCAAAAAAGAGCAGTGAGGGAGTCAGGTGGTAGCTAGAGTCTAAGCCAGTGGTTCTCAACTCATTCCTAAAAGAGCAACTACAGTCCTGAATTTAGGCATTCTCCAATTCTATTTCTATGGGAATACTGACAAAACCTGGACCATTTTGTCTTGAGGATTTGGGAAAAAGTCTTCACCATAGCAACCAGAACTGGACAGTATAAAAGGCATGCACATTTAATCCGTGGTCATCCTAAGTGGGTTAGAAATAAGCAATAGTGGTGGTGGTGGTTGGAGATGAACATGGAAAAGTGTGTTGGAGTAGTCATTCAGATTGCACATGAATGGGGTGCGTTAGGAATATTATGTATAGGGATAGAGTTTGGTTAAATTTAGTATTGGGACACATGAGATGTTAAGTTTTTAAGAGGAGTTAAACATAGGATTAAGGCAAAGGATTTATTTTAAGCGGCACTGTCACGATATACTTACCTTTCCCCAATTGCTTCCTCTTCTCTTCTCTTTCCTACTCTGTCGTTCTTTTTTTAATTTTTTTCGTTTATTTCTAACTAAAAACATAAGACAAAGTAGGGACCTCTTTGTCTTATGTATTTTTCCTACGCCTGACTTACTTAGACACTGGGAGGAGAGCGATGGCTGCAGAGAATTGGCTCTGTCAATCCTCCATAAACCTCAATGCTCGTGGGTACAGCAAGAAGACCTGCTGGAGAAAGATGGCGGCACCTGCGAGGGACAGGTTCAGGTAAGTAGAACTCACCTTTTCCTGTCCACCAGCCACCGTATCCCCATTGGGAGACAGTGCCGCTTTAAGGGTTAGGCTGTTAATGCTGGAGTTTGAAGGGTTATTTGCAAAGTACTCATCCTCCCATGTCTGAACAGTCACATTGATGAAATTAGAACTGAAAGAGCGGTTATACAGTTGGCATCATTAGGAACCTCTCTTGCTCCTCCTAAATACATTTCCTGCATGAGAGATTATTAGGGGGCAGATGTGAAATGATCCCTTCCACTTCTTGTGCAGCCTCACACAAAGACACTGAAGGAACTGGGACTGCGCTGCTCAAAAAGGTTCTCTATTTAGTGCTATAAACAGGCACCCCCTAGTGGACAGTCACCCGTAGGCAGATACCTACACTGCCTAATAATGAATCAGGGCCATGCTGCAGTAGAATTTTTTTAGAAGCAATCTAGCGCTAAAAAAAATGGCAAAATATAGTAAATATATGATATATTTAGTATCTTATAAAATAGAATCATGGACAACCATTCTATCACTGCATGGCTGCCAGAGCCCCTGGATTTCAATTAAAGTCTCTAGATTGTGATCTAAATTGTAATTGCCCCAGGCCAACAATCGCCATTCTTCACCTGCATATAATAGAGGTAACAAAGGTAACCAGGACCCTTACCAATGGTCATTTAACACTGACAAAAACATCCCTAGAGGCTAAAGTTGTGACCTTTTACTCAGGTTTGTGCTCTTTTATTGTGTGAGCTGTGTTTGACCTATAGAAGTGAGAATATAGAGCTAATTGCCTTGGTCTTTCATTCTCTGTTGTAAAGATTTCTCAGTATTTTTTTTTTCCTCTGTACTGGCTTTCACCAGTTTGTTTCTGGTTTATGTTTTTCTACTGAAGAACAAAGCCTTGAGTTGTACTTAAATTAATCATCTGCCTTCTCTACCCCGTGTACTATAATTATGTACTTCATGATCCTTGTTTGAGTGCATCTAGTTGCCCTAGTTGCAGAAAAGGATAGTCACTCGTCTTGGTTCCTTTTTTATTATGTATTACGTACCTCTAAGCTTCCATTGCTGGCCGCCATCGATAATGCTGTCTGACCCAACTGGTCTGTGACATTCACGTCAGCCCCATTTTCTATTAGATAATTCAAAGCCTCTAGCTTCCCAGTTTCGACAGCAATATGCATCGGAGTGACATTTCCAGAAGCCTCCAACTCCAAAGAGACTCCATGTTCTTGTAGCAGTTCCATGATATGGAGGTGGTTACTCACGGTCGCCCAATGGAGAGGACTCCATTTATTGTTATCTCCTACACAGGGGTTTTTGTCTTGCTTTAGAAGTAGTTGAGTAATGAGAGTGTGTCCATTTGCTGCTGCCAGATGGAGAGGGGTCAGGCCTGCTTTGTTTTTTGCGCCGGCGTTGGTGCCACGTTGCAGAAGCATCTCCGTCAGATGTGTGTGACCATTCCAAGCGGCATGATGAAGAGGAGTGCACCCAGAGTCATCTTGAGCACTGATTAATGCTCCTCTCTGAATCAACAGCTTTGCAGTGGCCAAATGTCCATTAGTTGCTGAGCAGTGCAAAGGTGTCCAACCAAGTTCGTCTCTAACAAAACAAATAATAAATGTCACTGTACTAGTGAAAGATTCTACATTGCTACTTTTAAAAGTTTTAGATTTTTTTTCCTGGAAGAAATAATTAAATTTTTGTCTCATTTTCAAGCAATTCGCTGTATGGTACACAAAGTATGATATACACATTAGGTCATAAGTACTTCTGTTTACATGGATATGTTCTAGCTCATCATAATTTTCACAGAGAGGTTCGTTAAACCAGAATTACCAGCATCTCTGCATTGAGCTCATCTGGGCCAAATATTGAAAAGTACCCCAATGAGTTTAGCCTTTGTTAGCCTTGAAGAGATACTATAGTGCCAGGAATACAAAGCTGTATTCCTGGCACTATCACTGCCCCTGCCTCCCTCCCCTCCCCCCATCCTCCCTCCTGGGTGAACAAAGGGTTAAAACCCCTTTATTGACTCACCTTTCCCCAGCCCTGATGTCCCTTGGTGCTTGGTCCTGCTTCCGCCACCTCAGATGGCCTGTGACGAGCGGGCGCTAATACGCATGCATGGCAAATGCCATGCACACATTAGACCTGAAGCAATGCTTTCCTATGGGGAAGAATCTGACGCTAGATGTCCTCATGCAGAGTTCACAGTGTCCCTTTACTATCAATTACTATCAATTTTCAAACTCAAAACCTCAGTGGTTCTGCAAGATGTATGTCACACATCAATTTTGTGGCATACTACTATATGAAAAGGAAATACATTCTGTTGTACTCGTTGGAATTGTCCCTTGCTAAATGTACTTTTATTCTTTTGTATGAACTTGTCAGGTGCCTCATCTCAGGACCCTGTTTAAGCCTTGTACTGAAGAAAACTAGAGAAGATGGAAGGATTTCCCCAAGTGAGTAGCTCATTTAGCAGACAGAGTAGGACCTGCCAAAGATGGGGTACATTGGCGTTGTGGCAGGCTTATGCAATGTATGATCATATAATGTAACTAAACCCCATTATTTTGTGCCTAGATTAGTTGGCTTTAATAAAACTAACAAAATTGTTTAGCACTAAAATAACTGTTTAGTAGATAAGTGTGTGCGCTGGATTTTCATTTTTACTGTATGAACTTGTCCACACTTTGCAGCCAGGAGACTTAAGTAAATAAACTAAAAGGTGTTCAAGGACTTAGCACCTTGAAAGAACATCAATACTGGTGAGGGATTAATAGTCTTTCTACTGTGACAAGGGATTAGTGACGGCTAGAAGTCTCTGTAGTTAGGCTGTGAAAAAGCTTAAATATTATACATTGGCAATCAGATCAATCATGTCATATTTACATATGAACAGTTAACCATAGATGAATGTTTCCCCTTTAAAAAAAAAAAAAAAAACATGTTGAGAGGGTGTCAATATGTTTTTTTACATTAAAATGTGGTATTCTACCCTTAATTTGTAGCAATTCGATTTTAAATTTTTACAGATTTTGGATTGTGTACATTCAATGATATGCTCTCATACTTTTTTGCAGACTCTGGGAAAATAATCACAGGACTAGGGTCCACATTCATCACATTTGGAACTTGAAGAATATTAAAAATAAATAAATAATTAAACAGAAAAAAATGGGGACCAGGATCAAGTTTCTACACTTACAACTTATCTGGCAATGTATGGATTAATAATATTTTGTTGGAGGGTCCATAGCTGCTCCATCCGCTTGGTGGAAAACAAATAATAACTAGCCATATGCTCCACCCAATCCCTAATCCAGTTAGTGATAAATAATATAGTATGAATTTTTGAAGACAGACACGCATTTATTTACTCTATCCACAATGCTGTGAGGTTACTTGAGAAAATAAACAAGTAGTTACTTGAGAAAATAAACAATCCAAGGGACCCCGATTCCCAGCTTAAATGTAAGACTTCATTCACTTCTCTACTAAAAATACAGTACAAATGGCTGAAAGTGTCCTGTTGTAGTGCGAAAACACCCCACCACATTGTTTGCTAAGGAGATGTCCAATCTTACTGCTCCCTCCTGCCAGGCCACCTTCTGGACCCCCAGGTGCGGCAGAGTTGTAATCCGAGGTGGCGAGGGAGCTCTAACCTCTCTGCATTGCTCCCTCGCGCGATATTTGCTGATGCCGTGGGAGCTGATGCATCAGTAGACAGCCCGCAAGGGAGCAGTGCAGAGAGGTTAGAGCTCCCTCGCCGCCTTGGATTAGCACACAGCCGCCCGCCGAAGGGACAGATCCACACCAGCTCTCCAGGTAGGGAGGCTGGGTGGACATTTAATATTAATAATTTGTGTGTATATGTATGTGTCTGTAAGTGTATGTGTGTGTCTGTAAGTATTTGTGTGTGTCTGTAAGTATGTGTGTGTGTCAGTAAGTATATGTGTGTGTGTCTGTAAGTATATATGTGTGTGTCTGTAAGTATATGTGTGTGTGTGTCTGTAAGTATATGTGTGTGTCTGTAAGTACATGTGTGTGTGTCTGTAAGTATATGTGTGTGGGTGTCTGTAAGTATATGTGTGTTTGTGTCTGTAAGTGTGTGTTTGTGTCTGTAAGTATGTGTGTGTCTGTATCTGTGTGTCTGTTAGTGTATGTGTGTCTGTCTGTTTATGTGTGAGTGTCTGTAAGTGCATGTGTGAGTATGTGTATGTTTGTGTGTATGTGTTTCTCTGTTTCTATGTGAGTGTGTGTCTGTAAGTGTATGTGTGAGTGTTTGTCTGTGAGTGTGTGTGTCTGTAAATGTATGTGTAAGTGTGTGTGTGTTTTTCTGTGAGCAGAGTACTTGTAGAATAGAAGTAAGAAGGAGCAGAGTATTTGTAAAAAGGAGAAAGAAGGAGTAGAGTACTTGTAAAAAAGGAGAAAGAAAGAAAAGGAAAAGGAGAGAATTGTTGTTGACTAATAATAGTAAGTGAGCTACTTAGCTCAGCCTTCCTACTGGGCATTGCTATAAGGAAGGTTAAAAAATAGAAAAAAGGAAGAAAAAAAGGTGGGGAGGGGAATTGAGGAGGGAGAGGAGGGGAGCTGACGCACAGATGAGAAATCATTTTATGAGCAAACAAAGAAGTCTTCTGATTATCACCGAAAGAGGAGACCTTCGTTTGTTCCTTACGAAAATCGAACCAGATATCAAATATTTAGTCTCTCAGCATCAACCTCAAGGATCTCATTAATCACTAGTAAAGGTAATTTCAATTTACTTTATTGCTTTCTCATTAAACTTTATAAAGTTAAAAACATTATAAACATGCAAATGTACGTACATTTATTTATTTTTTTAAAACACCCTCCTTTCTAAAAAATATTCCGCGCTTGCGCAAAAACTGGTGGGTGGTAAAGACATTTTTCCATCAAGAAAGATGCATTAGTGGGCGGTAAGTGGAAAAAGGTTGACTACCACTGGTGTAGTTGCTCAGAGAGCCGATACACCTGCTGTAGATATATCTGTGTAACATAAAGGTTTAGTTTTTTTTTAGATGGTTCACATCCTTGCAAGGTTGAGCAGTAGTCTCTCTTTGGGTTTCAGATCCCTTTGTCAATCTTTTCTATTGTATATTTTCTCTTTTCTAGGATCTTAGAAAATTTATTGTGCGCCTCTGAGTACCACAGTAATGTGTCTTTGAATAATAGCAAAATGGTCCTCCATCATTTTTTTTTTTTTTTTAAAGGATGCTTGTATTCACGCACAGAAGGTGAGGACATCATCTGACTCCAGTGAACACTGGCACTCATTACATTTTTCATGCCCGAATGTTATGGTGCTTAGAGTGCTCCTTTAAAAGAACCATATTGCCTTTAATTTTCTGCTGCAAATGTAGACTTTTGGACAGAAAATTGTCATGAAAAATTTAACTTGTCTTGGGTATTATCCCATTAAAACACAGTCTATTAAAGGGACATGTTAATTATTATTTAATTATGCATTTTTGGGGTATATCTAAACATAGCTTGCAAAAGCTGCAGTTCACTTGTCTAAAACTTTGCAAGCCGTCCCCTTCTATCCCAGCCCAGACTTTCTGTGGCTGTCCAATCACAGACTTTCCAGTGCAGCTCAATGAGAAGTCTTTGCAAAGCATGTGCTCTGGGCAATTTCTGCCCCTTGAGTTTAGTTACAGGACAAAAAAAAATCAAAGATGCACTCTTCGTAACTAAAGCACTTCAGCAAGCTAAAGTGCTTTAGTTGTTTGTAGTGTTCCTTTAATATCTTTTTACACATACCTGTCATCCACTGTCTCTCCTTGCTGAAGCAGTTGTTTTACAAGCCGCGTGTTGCCATTCCAGGCTGCCAAGTGAAGTTTTCTCCATTCCCTATCTCTGACACAAGAGTTCTCTGGCAGACTGAACTCCTCACACAGCTCAAGGCACCTTCGTGCCAGATCAGTTTGGGGACACATTCCGCCGACTCTCTGTTGCATACCTCACACCTGAAAACACAAAGACACATTATCATTGTGATATCTGATGTACATTCTCACACATAAAGCAACAGGAGTACTGCACCCCTCGTTAATGCTTCAGGCTAGTATATTATTGGCCTTTTACACTGGAGAAACTGCATCCATTCAATGTTATTGCTCGAAGCTTTGTTTGAAAACTCTGTAGCAGTTGTATTGTATTGTTTTCAGTAATTATTAGGGTAGCACACATTTAACAATTGAGATGATTGCTCGGGATAACTCAACAGCCTTCGTAGTTAATTATCATGTCAGGCAGGTTCTATAGTATTCTAATAGTAAAGAACAAATCTTTAATTACCAAAATAATATTTCGATTTTGCTTTTAAAAAAACCTTTCAAGACCAGTGATGATGATATTGTTGTCAGGATAGAACCACTCACATAGGTCCCAGGATTGAGAGGAATGTAATTAGGATAGAAAGCGTGGGACATGTTCGCCTCCCACCCAAAAAAGGGTTCCTATCAGAATACCAATATTGAAACATTCTTGTATAAACGGTCATCCCTGAGCTTAGCACAGAGTACACACCATGTACAGTAACTACTATGGCCTGCTGTAGTAGTTATGGTCTGGATGTCCCCCGGTGCCTTCCCAGAGTGAGTTTTCAAGACATGTGAGAACAGTTGAACCTGTGATCTACTGGGTAACCAATGACTTCCCTGCAGAAGGAATGTCCACCGCTGCCCTAAGCTGTGTGGTGCAGGGTTGTGCTACTTGGCTTAGAGCACTCAGATGATGCTTTCAGCCAGTGAGCTGGCACTTATTGGAGCTTTTAGCTCAAGGGGACGAGGCGACAATGCAGATCAGACCCTAGATATGTTATTAAACAATTCTCAAACATCTTGACTGCTTACTATGGAGGGACTGCAAAGCACTCGGCAACCACAGACAACCAATCTGTTGCAAACTAAATCTCCATTGTGTTTAGGCACAGTGAATTCTGTGTGAAGCTTGATTCAAATTGTCCTCAAATCATTTAATTCTAATAGTCTCCTGTGATATTTTTGTCAGGATTTTGGTAATTGACCAAGATATCCTGTATCATGAGGCATTTATAATACAATTCAGTTTTCTAGGCAGAGACTAGAGTTTATCTTCACCTTCTATTCAATAAATAACTTTTTCTTCATCCATTCTACCATTTTACTCTGAAATTCCATTCCTGTCCCTAGTCCCAACCCTTATTCAAAGTGGGATATATATAGGCCACAAATCCGTCCATCTTTTAATATAAGATTATTATATCATATATGGAAAATGGGGTTCCTCTGGGGTTAAAGGTCTGATATCTACTGTCTTCTAAACCTTTTTCTTCATTTAATAGCGTGGTATATAATCTACTCACTTTAGGTGACACCATCCATTTTTGGAAGTCTTTACCACTTTCCTCTGTTTATGGTAACCCCAAGGTAGCTAACTGCTTTACATAGGTACCGGCAGGGCATTAACCACAGGCTGTCCAGTATTGTGTAAATCTCTACTGAGGAACAGGGAGTCGGGCAGCCTCAGATTACTGCACTCAGTGCAATGTTAATGATACCAGGCAGTTCCTTTAACACGCAGCCAAGTTACAAAAAACATTTATTGATTTTAGAAAATAAAAGCTAGTAGAGAATATGTCACTGTCAGTGGGCACTTCGGTAAATGTTTCAGTTTATCAGTTGATGGTATGTGGTGGTTGAACATTAGAGTAGAACAAGTGTAGGCAAGCTATGGCAATCCACTACATCTCCCATAATGCACTTACAGCTGTAATACTGGCAAAGCATCAGTGGAAATGTATTGCACATCTGGAGTGTCGAAGGTTGCCTACCCCCGAATTCGAATAAGGTAGTACTGGGAAACTCAGGTTTGAATACCGGTCAGAACATCTTACCCGTAAGTGTCCTTGAGAAGACATCTAATGATATATATCCGCCTACCTCAAATTCTCATAGATTGTAAGCTCTTTAGAGCAGGGCATTCTTTACTTTAAAATACCCCCTATGATTTTAAAGCACAATGGAATATTTTGGCGCTATATATAAATGCTAACAATAATAATATTTAGGTGATAACTGAACTGCAGTAATATTGTTGCATTAGTGTAGTATGGGAGAAGGAAGCATAGGTGCAAATTCTCCCCTCTGGAAATTTAGAAACATCACATGATTAGGTGTGTAGTGCTTAATAAGTCAGGAGACAAGACTGGATTATGTATAAATGGGGTGAGGGGGAAAGGTAATTTTTCTGTCACTTGTGTGACTATCTCAGTAACCAGGAGACCTTGATAAAGATCTGTCATGGAGTTAAAATGTACATATTTGCCAGTAAGGTGCACTAAAAGCTGCAGTGAATCTACCTTATTAATTATCTGTTTGCACAACTCTGGTCATTATTAGACATTTCATCTCAAGTTCCCCATTATATCAGAGACAAAAGCATTTCTTTATCCTGTAATGGTATAAGATTACATTCTAAAACATACATCTCCAGCCCAACACTTTACTGTTCCTACATGTTCACCCTTTGAGCGCCAGAGTAAGGTAGACACTGACATGTGACATGTGACAGTAAAAGATATAGTATAACCCAGCACTCAAAGGATTAAACTAACTGTAGACATTTTTCTAATGGCTGAGCTTACAGTCCTGCTTGCGCATTCCACTGTAACAATACGTACAGACAAGTCTATTCAATGATAAAAAAAGAGTTCTCGGAACTTTAAAACATTTAACTGTGCTCTGATAAGCACATGCTGGGATAAGAGTTGGCGGGGTATTGTATGTTAGTGCCAACATAATAATTTGGGCAACTGGCATTCAGTTCTTAGTTTATGGCATTTTTATGTATAAAAAATAAAGAATTCATTAATAACATTACTGTAATGATTTTGCTCAAGCAATGTTTTTTCCAAGAGAGCTATTTCCATCCTAGTGTCATTAGAAAGATTTTTCCAGACCGGGCTATCAATGCTTCCTGCATCGGTCACGGTGCAAGGAGCTCTCCTGTCCGCGTCTCTCTTAATTCTGTTAATTATTTCTGCAGTGATTTTTAAAACACAAGTCATCAGCTGCGTAACGTCATAGGTGGAGGTTATTACTTCTTGTTGACTCTACAAGGTTTAATATGATGTATAAACACACTGGCAGATTATTTACTAAAATGTGCATTGTCTGAATTCAAAGTGAGTTTCAAATCATAGGCCCAAATAGCCAATCTGTAAACAAAGCTGACTTGAAGAATTATTCTAAACATTCTAAGGGATGGTAATATGCTGCTATCCAATATCTATCCTATTCTGTTATGTATGTGACTAGTAGATTCTGCGAGTTGGGATTTACCTATGGTTTTTTTTGTATGCATTATTTAAATTATTCAATAATAGAATCTAAATCTAAATGTAAATTATTAGTTAATAGAATCCTGAAATATAGCAAAAAAAACAGATTAATATTATTCTTTGTCAGCGAAACCTTTGGCTCTTTCTAGTGACATCATCTGAAACCAGGAACTTGCAAGTACCTCTCAACCAATGCCTACTTTTCCATTATTTTCACTTGATGACTGGTGAGCATGGCTACTTGTATGTCAGATATTCTACACAGACATTAATTACTTCTGTCTTATTAAGGCACAATGCAGTGACCTACTGCATACCATTAATGCACATAAGTGACTAAAACCCACCATATGCATCTTTTTACTTACAGTCGTGTCTCCCATTAATTTTATTTTAAGCAGATGAGACCATTCACCTTAGTGTATTACGAATGAGCAAACAGCCCCATTCACTCCAATGTGAAAATGCTATACTGTATAGGAAAATATACAGATGACCAGACTATGTTTATGATCTCCACTCTTCTACTTGAAAGTGAGAGATAGGGTGTGGAATACACAGAAAAAAATATATATTTGCACAATGCTCTTTAAGATGCATGATTGTTGCCGTGGTAACTGGAGTGCCATCTTAAAACTGTATTGGTCTTAAAAACTTGTATTGAAGTTTACTGAACTTATCCTGTTATGTTTTGTTTCTGGATATGATTGCAAAACTCAAAGATTTATAAAACAGCATATTGGACTTTGTGTCTTTCATGGGGTTATAGACCATCGGGGTGTTCTGCCTTTATTGGTCCAGAATGAGGATTACCTTACAAAAGTGTAATGGCACACAGATTGCATACACACATGTCTTACTGTAACATAAAAAAGGCACTGTAACATTAGAATTCTTGTGAATTGGGTCATTGTTTTTATAAGGTCACAGCTGGTTTAAAGCTATTGAACTAGTTCTGCATCGCTTGTAGTATTTAAAAGGACCATAAACTTTAATGCATTCTTTGCTCCTATGCACCGATTACCTTATTATCTGGTCTTAACATTTGTTTTGCCAGACTGCTAGTCTGTAGCTCGTTTGGAAAAAAATCTAAAGATTCATCCATGTTGGGGCTTTAGCTTAGTGAAAGACCACTAAATACATTTTAACTTTTTCAATCCACATGCAGGGTATATCAACACTAAATAATTCCTAAGGATGTCAGTTTGTCACTATTGTTTATAAATGACAATAGCACTCCTGCATTCAAATACACAGTCAGGCTTGCCAGCCCAATACACCTGAGCATTCAGACTCTAAATACAAACACAAAGATACATTAACCTACCCACTATACGAGGTGGTACATGTGTTAGGTTAAAGTCCACATTTCAAAAAAGAGAATGCACACTAGAACCACCAATATAGTCTATGCAAATTTTAATAACCCAATAATAGGCATACATTGTATATAACGAAACTATATAATGTGACAATATAAAGGCATAAAAATAAAACAGTAACCATTTACCAAATCTCTCACAAGCCTATCCTGGCAGAAACACAGGTCCCCGATACCCCCAACGTTTCAGCACCAAGGGTGTTTAAAAGGCAGCCAGTTGGTGCCGAAACGTTGGGGGTATCGGGGACCTGTGAGAGATTTGGTAAATTGTTACTCTTTTATTTTTATGCCTTTATATTGTCACATTATATTGTTTTGTTATATACAATGTATGCCTATTATTGGGTTATGAAAATTTGCATAGCCTATATTGGTGGTCCTAGTGTGCATTCTCTTTTCTGAAATATTTATGTTTGGTTGGTACTGGAGGGAGTACCTGTGAAGAATAGCACCTAGTGAGTTATTTTGGTATTGTTATCTCTCCACACGATATTATTGTATAGATAAAAGTCCACAGGCTCAATTCTTTACTGCTTTTGCATCAGCGAGTCTAATTGTATCTGTATATGACGAGTTTCTTAATTTTGTTTTAAAGTGCTTTGCTTAAGAGCACTATACATATTTAACTAATTACTAAAAAATTTAATTTCCTCTTTAGGAACCCGTACTTGCTGTCGCAGGTTATTCCACCAGCGTATCGCTCTTCAGGACACCATGGAAAATAATTCAAAACAGTACCATAAGTGCAACATTTGTATATATCACCTTCTATTTTGGCTTCTAAATGTGTGCTCTGTGCCATGAGAGAGCACACATTTAGAAGCCAAAATAGAAGGTGATATAATAACAGGTGAGCTCCTTGCACCTTATCTAGGCCAGGAGCATTGGTTGTTATGGTTCTTGTAGTGTCCTCTTAAAATCTGCTTGTGAAGAAAATCTATTGCTAAAAAAAATATTGTGCAATAACTTTTAATGCCAATCACTGGAACGTTAAACCTTACTGACTAAGGAGATGTCGTGCTTTATTCGCTAAACAGTGAAGTAAAAACTGAATTGCAAACATAAGGACGAAATGATTGCATTTGAAAGTTTGTTTGGAATAAAGTTTGCAAAATGGTTTTAAATTAATTGCCATAACGCCAGATGTATTCTTTACACTTGGTTCATAAACAGATCTTTAAAATAATGTAAAATTGGAAGATAACCTGGACAGTATGCTCACCCCAGTTTCCTGCACGTCCTACAACTCCCTCTTCACTGCTAGCACATTCGTTTCTATTTCATGTTACGAACAAAACAAGTGGCTGAGCTGCATTCTTTTACACAGCTCAGCAAACACATGATAACCTTCTGTAAAGTATTAGCTCTTCGACCAGATAATATGCATGAAAATATTCGCCTTGTTGAATCAAAATTAAACTGCAACAGGGTGATTTAAATCTGTAACACTACATAATATAATGATAGGAACATAGAATGTGACGGCAGATAAGAACCATTCGGCCCTGTCTAGTCTGCCCAATTTTCTAAATACTTTAATTAGTCCCTGGCCTTATCTTATAGTTAGGACAGCCTTATGGCTATCCCACACATGCTTAAACTCCTTTACTGTGTTAACCTCTACCACTTCAGCTGGAAGGCTATTCCATGCATCCACTACCCTCTCAGTAAAGTAATACTTCCTGACATTATTTTTAAACCTTTGCCCCTCTAATTTAAGACTCTATCCTCTTGTTGTGGTAGTTTTTCTTCTTTTAATTATAGTCTCCTCCTTTACTGTGTTGATTCCTTTTATGTATTTAAATGTTTCTATCATATCACCCCTGATCTAGTTCCAGCGGATACTAGACAATACGAGAAATCTCAATGTTTTCTTTCTTGACAAAAACAAAACAAATCATTTGGGGTTTATTCACTAAACAGATAATTATAATTAAGTAAAAAACAGAATTGCTAAATTTACGTTAACATTGCTAAGCTGTGACTATAGCTGATTTGAAGATTTTTTCCAAATCAACTGTTTTCTTAACTTTTGAAATTCGCCTTTTACTTCACTACAATTCTGCGTTTAGTGGATAAACCGCAGTATAAGAAAATTAATAACACAGCAAGTAATACAATAAACATGAAGTTTAAATTGATCTGGTAACTTGCCACTCTCTAACTCTTTGCTGTGTTTGTGTGCAAGATGTAAGTAGACTTCTTGCTGAAAATTGCTCAAATTTATCCAGAATTCCAATGTCATGTAAAAGTGACATTTTACGTTACCAAGCCACCACTGCAGGACCTGTTTCTTTCTACCATGCGTTTTACTTGTACCGGAGGAACACCTACTTGTTAATGTATTTCTTCTGAATCCACTCTGACTCTGGATGTCATATTCCAAAATCTCAGGTCGTAAGAAGCCTGACGTTCATCTTGTAGCTGTGTGCGTTGCAGAATAAGACATGTTATCAGACACCAGGTTGAAACCAAGCAGAACAAAACAGGTTGATTACTGTGAAATTGAGAAGAGGATTAAATATAAAAGTGTCCTTGTGCAACTTCACTCAGAGGATACTTTGGCAAGTGTGAACATGTTTCCAAGCTAAGCTCTTCCCTCTGTTAAAGGGTAATCAGCTAATGGTGCAAGTGAACTCTTCATAGATCCTACAGATTGGGGGAGGTGTGGGCTGCGGGGGGGGAGGGAATACAATAAATGGTGAATACAATACTCTACATAACAAAACAGAGCTTGGTTTTTTTTGTAGTAACAGTGCACAGTACTAAATGCTAATGTGCCTGGATCACTTGTTTTAGGTTCCTTAGTGTCTCTGATGAGGAAGTAAGCCGCAGATGTCAAAGCGGAGGACAACATCGGTAATTGTGGTCTAGGTCGCAAGGCATTACACCCACTGTAATCATGGACATTTATCATATAAAAAAAAACTTATGCTGTAGGTTTACATTAACAATGTTGCTAAATCTTTTATAAGGTTCACAGTATACAAGGGGGGTGACGGAGCTCCAGTACTCCAACAGAGTATATCCGCCAGGTCAGCTTGCTGGCTACTACCAGGGGACTCTGGAGCACTTCAGACTCAGTCACCGAAGCCTGACTGGGGTCTACAGGACCAAGCTGCAGTGATTATAGCTTAGGAGTCCTTTTCTCCTATAAAGCAGAGACTACTGCTTTACTGTAGCTTTTCCCCAACACAACCTCCGGTGTCTCTTTTCTTCCACGACCTCCCCTCAATCTAGCTCTCTATTTGGAGGTCTGGGGACCAAGCGACACCTGCTTAAAGATTGACCGGACCTTGGAGCACAGTCCCGCTCCAAGGAACAGCTCCAGAGTGTTTCAGGGTATCAGTCAGACGCTCGATGCATGAAAGGGAGTCCAGGTGATCCGCAGAGGTCCTCAAGTTCGAAAGAAAACCACTATAGTCCCCCATCCTCCCTCAGTGACAATAGCCCATTTAAGGGCTCCTGGAGCCAGGCCCATAGCCTGTGGGCAGGAGCTGGCCTTCAAGCCTCTCCAAAAGTCTGTGGCATGGTACAAAAATGGGCTAGAAATGCAATTTTAATAAATTATGCTGTAGGTACATATAGCATACATACATCCAAACATTACCTCACCAGTGTGGCAGGGTCAGGGTCAGATAATTCACTTCCATTGTGCAGTGTGAAAGATTGTGATACTGCAGGAACACCCTCTCTCACAATATAACCCTTAAATGAGCACTATAGTGCCAGGAAAACAAACCCGTGTTTCCTTGCACTATAAGGTTATTAGATCTCCCCTCCTGCTGGGCTGAAGGGGTTAAAACCTCGTCAGCCACTTACCTTAATTCAGCGTCGGGCTCCCTCGGCGCTGGTGACCCCTCCTCCCCTGCCGACATCAGCTCCCGCATGGTGCTGAATGCGCATGCACGGCCAGAGCCGTGCGCACTTTCAAACCACCCATAGGAAAGCATTACTCAATGCTACGTGAGTTCAATGCAACTTTCACACTGAGAATTGCGGAAGCGACCTCTAGTGGCTGTCAGGGAGACAGTCACTAGAGGCTGGATTAACCCTCAATGTAAACATAGCAGTTTCTCTGAACTAGGGGGACCTGGCACCGAGACCACTTCATTGAGCTGAAGTGGTCTGGGGTGCCTATAGTGGTCCCTTAACATTGAATTCAGAAAGTGCATTATCAGGAAGCAAAATGGGCTTCTATAGCTTAGACAGTGTAGTGTTTAGTTTCTATATATAGGCAATTTTGGGAGTGTTTCTGAACTCACCAGTGGGTCCTCAGCCTGTTACCATTGTGGCCTCTCATCAACTGCTCACTTGCTCAGTGGGTGCAATGCACGAGGGTAGCCAAAATATGTGGATATTGGTGAGGACACTTGGCCTGTATGAGTATATATTTTGATTAATAGACATTTCCATAAAAGTAGTGATGAGTAAAATGTATTTTTTTCTGCAGTGAAAGGGAAACAAATACCGTTTTTAATTTCTCCAGGTTGCATACGTTAAAAAAAGTATTTTCTGACAAATAAATAAAAAAGTGCATTAACTTAATAGAACATACTGCCCTTATACCATATGTGAATCTAAGCATGTGCAACACACCACATTGTATGCATGTACTAAGCAATATCTGTGCTGTGTGCAACACACGGGAGCATAAAAGAACACTACAAACGGCAAATTATTTTCACATTTTCCAAATGTCACCACTGGAACATTGAAGGTTTAGTTCAGTCAGGTGTTTACACACACTTTATGCTACCCATTGGCAACCGCAATTCTTTTTACTTTGGCCAATGTGGGTGGTTCCTCGGTTTTCTCGAAATCATCCAAAAGGATTATAATCAAACATTTTGGCTCTGCGCAGATCAGCTCACGTTTACACAATCAGAATATGATCTTCCCTGTCCAAAGGCATATTTCCCCAAATACCCCCTGCCTGTAGTCTTAGATTAGCTGCCCACTACTGTACAGAGATAAGGAAACATCTCATATCAAAACATAACTTGTCTGGACATCTCTCCCTGAAAGCCATTACAGTGCATTAATGTTAATCTGTTTGTGAGACAGGATTTGGGGCTGTTATATTTCCTTCTTCTGGCAGTATCATCTTATTGTTCTCTGGTGTACAGTGATGTCTACGTGTGGGCACTTGGCTAATTCCTTATGTGTTGTGTACACATGAAGTCAATCAGATGGTATCTAAGTAATAAGACACTTTTAAAAAGCAATGCAACATTTATTCACGTTTTGAATTATTCAATATGAACAAGTGTATATACTGTATATTTATGACTGCTAATGAGACTATTCTAGTCCCCATGTCCTAAAACATGATCATGGCAACAGCATTTGTTTTGTTTTGAGATGTTTTCTCATTACGATTTCTTGCAAGTACCTTTAGATAATACACAATGCTAAATAAATCGGAATATAATACTGTGACAAACTGCCCCGAAACTCTTTTATTTTCCTAAGCCCAAGTTATTTTCGATTCGGTTTGGTATTTCTATCTACCGAACGCAGACCACCCCCCTGGCTCATTATCTTCAAAGTAACCACAAATTTAAGTGCTCTCGCTCGTATAACCAAAGGACACGTGCTATGAAAAATTCCGGCCATCCTTGTCTCCCGAATGCAGGCAGCGGTACTTGGTCATCGAGTGTCTGGAGCTCCAAGCTGGACACTGTGACTCGCGAAAACCGGTATCCTTGTAGGCCGCCTGCTTTTGTTCAGACAAGCCAGGAGAGCGCTGTTCAGTGGAAGGGTATGCACGAACAAGACGAACAATCGCTACCTACGAGCCAGCGTAACCATTCGATATGTTGTTCATTAGGAACTACCGAAATTGTCCGACTGCTACCACTTTTCTTCTGGAACTAATTTGGGCAGACTCCACGTGTGCGGTCGGTCAAAAATTTACCCCGGTGGTGATTCGGCTGTATTCGTGGGATCTGAGCGCTATTTGGACACGTTTGGTGCTCAGAACCACGCTATCCGTGGATATAAGACTGGAGGGGGTTTCTATTAAAATTATGTGTGTTTTGGGGTGTTTTGTGTTTTATTCACTGTACCTCTAGTGCAGGGGTAGGCAACATTTTAACAGCACTGTGCAGAAATAGGATTGTGATGTCCCGTAGCGTGCTGGTCCTATTTTTTTAAATTGAGGTGCGTATGCTGCCGTATTCTGCTTGTGTTATTTATACTGCAGTTGCTTTGTATCGTTGTATTTGTGCATATATGAGCTATTATATTGTATATGTTCATGAGTAGTTTGTTGTATCATGTATTATACCTATGAATGTGGGCTGTATAGAAGGGCTGCTTGTGGAATTGTGTGTGTGGATACATATGCCACATGGTGTGTTTGGTAGTGTGTTTATGTGTGGAGGAGAGGGTTATTTTACATTACTGTGTATGTCTAGCAGTGTGGGTGGCTTCCCTGGGTTCCAGTGGGGACCAGGCTGTTCAGGTACATGTCAAGGACAGGAACTGCAATAGCAGCTGCCGGCTGTTCTACTCCAGTGTGGATTCCCACTCACAAGTGATGGCCTGATGTGATCTGAGATTACTTCCTCTACGTCAGCGGTGGGAAACGTCCGACCCGCGAAATCATTTGGACCGGCCCGTGGAGAGCCAGCCCTGCTGTCTGCTTTTTTCAGGCCGGTGGGGAGATCAAAGATCTTCCTCACCGGTCTCCGGGCAGTTTTTAAAACGAGAGGCAGGGAGCTTGGACCCGGGAGCCTGCTGGACAGGAAGAGGACCCAGGAGGCTGTGATCCTCCCGCGAACAGGCTGGTCGGAGCGTTGCCGCACGTTATCATGGCAACGCTCCGACAGCACTGTTCTCGCTGGAAGAAAATAGTGAAGTCAGCCCTCAACCAGAGGAGCTGCAGGCTAAGGTGCACACAAAACTACTGGACGACAAGGGCTTGCAGTGATACGTCCCCTCCTTCCAGTCCAGAGGCAGGAAGGGTGGGATGTAGTTAAACATCGCTGAAATAATAGTTATATTTTCTGCAATTTATTTTTCTATTTCCTATTTGTATGGCGATAACAGTGTCTGAATTGACACAAACATAAAAAGCCCAGTGAAGGCAAATACCATTATTAAATATAGGTTCCATACAAATTACAACTGACATAATGACTTACTGTACAAAGATTACTAATAAAATAGTTAAGATCTATGGCATAAAATGATGGTGTGCACAAAGAAAACAAGCTTTAAACATATGTTTTTAACAGAAAATAGATGTTTAAATGTGTGACTCTCACTGGAGACATGCATTGTTTTCTTTTCCTCTTTTTAAGTAAAAGAAATGGATTTTCTTCCTGATCCCCCAACACAATATAGACCGCTGACACTACACCACCTCACACACCCACACTGCATGCCCACTACACACACAGAACCCCTAACACACACACTGCATCCCCCCACACAGAACCCCTAACACAAACACTGTACCCCCTCACACATACACACTGCATCCCCTCACAAGCACTCCGGACCCCCTCACACAAACTACACTCCATCACACAAATACTGCACCCCCTCACACACACTCTGCATGCCACACACACACAAGCACA